CTGTCAAAAAGTAATGAGAAGGAGGCCTGGAGCTGTTAAACTACTGCAGATACTTTGTCCTGCTATGAGGTTTTTATAAATTCATGAACAACATTAACAACAGTGAGCTTTATTTGGCACTGAGGCAGTGTATCTCTGTCAGGCCTCACTTGTCTTAACCCTGACACATCCAAAGTAGATACACAGATTTCATGGCCTAAACTCACCACAGCAGTCTGGTATCCATCACCTGTACACACACTGGACAGTTAGTGACCAATGGTCAACCTTCCCTGGCTGGCCAAAGTGGGCACTAATTTGTTTCTATCATGGCTGACACTGCTCAGCTAATCACTGAGACATTACTGACAAAGTGATATAGGCCTGGACATCACATACACCCATGTACCTGTCTACTCATTCAGTACCTACATATACTACTGGTCATCTAATCACTGAGGCATTACTGACAAAGTGATATAGGCCTGGACATCACATACACCCATGTACTTGTCTACTCATTCAGTACCTACATATACTACTGGTCATCTTCACTGGCCAGCTATAATCACTGAGGCATTACTGACAAAGTGATACAGAACTGGACATCACATACACCCATGTACCTGTCTACTCATTCAGTATCAATATATTGTTGGTCATCCTCTTCACAGGCTATATTCCAGATAGTATTTAACATGTGTTGATCCACTAGTCTGATATCACAGACTACCCAGAGTTAAACCTTGTAAATGTTTCATTATACTTTTAATTTCATTTCATTTCAATGGTTATACAAGCTGGTTGAAGTATGTATACGTAGCCTGCGGTGGAGTAATTTGGATGGTCTCTAGACCTCAATAGCTGCAAATACTGTTCATTTGTTATATCATCAGATGTTTTTTCATCGAGAAACTTTTTTTTTCCGTAGAATTATTTGAGAAGTTTTCGATTGGCCTATTATACAGTTAACAAAAGTCCTGCTGTTGATAAGGAATATATTATAGATTAACACCTTGTTTACTTTCGTACATTTGATTATCCCACACAGTGCAGATCCCTCATCACCATCAAACAGCAACATTTGGTTGTGTGATAATGCACACAGCCCAAGCACCAAACAGCAACATTTGGTTGTGTGGGATCCCACACAGTACTTTGCAAATAGCACCAGATAGTGTATGGCTAGTGATGTAGAATCCCACTCAGTGATGTTCCAGCATCAGTACCAGACAGCATCTGCTACCCACCAGTTATGATGTTATTTTTCCACATCTGAGGTCATAACTTTTCTTTTGAAGTGATGTTTCATATGTCATAAAAAGGTCAGAAGGTCAACTTGACCATGACAAATTAGTGTGGCTGCTCCAGGGGTGTTTATGGAGGCACTGCCCAGCTCCCTGCAGTGGCAATGATGGACATTATGATGGGTCTGGGTACAAATTACATGTGTCAATGCCAAAAAAATGTGTGACCATCATTAATGGTCCAGTTTATTTCTGGTTATTCACTGTGAAATTTTACACTGACCAGGAGTTTAATTAGAGATGTAGAAATGATCAGACATATGGTGCCGGAGACCAGACCACCTGAAACAATAACCTGCCATTGTTTGGCAGAAGTATTAATTTGTAGAGGTTTATTATGCTAATGTTTCTTGGCCAATTTTTGAATTATGAAATTGATACCTCATTGTAATTATCTTCATTCATCATGTGACTTTTGTGATATTCCATCATGTTGAGATTGTAAGACATCTAAAACATTGCAACACCAAACCTTTATTTGTCCCATCAAAATGATGTTGAAAATTACGCAGCCTTTGGAGCTAGGATTTGGTAATATTTTAGCATCAGTAAAAAAATGATTACGTTTTTGCTGATGACTTGTGCGGACTTAATTGTTTCCTGTATCTCCACCTCCTATAATTGTGTGAAATAAACATGGGGAAACATGTGGAAACCTTGGCTACAAAGATCCTTCTACTTGTAATCATTTGCTTTTATATGAATAACACTTACCTTAAAATAATTATCAGGTAACATAGAAATATAAGAAAACTAATGAAATGCTTTAATTAATTGTCTGCTGAATAAGCAGGTAACACACAACCAGCACCAGGTGTGCAGTGATCCTAATTACAGCTACTTCATGAATGTCCACAAGTCAGATTGTACTGGCAGCTCTGATAGTGTCAACTTCTCAAAGTATATATATCCAAAAGTCAGACTCGGCTGGCAGCTCAACATGTAATAATGTCAACTTCTCCAGGTATAAACAGCTTTTTCACCGAGGAGGTGTGAGTCTGTTCCCAGAGATGTATCTAACCATTTAAATTAGTGACATAATTAGTCGTGTCAGAATGTACTTTTGAATGTATTAGAAATGCACACATAGGCATTTATTAATTAAGATTGTTTGCTAACATCCAGCATTGTGTGTCAGTTCACAATTTATGCATGTTATGTCAAATGCTTAGCAGTGCTTAAATCCATTTTAATGTTAATATTTAATATTTCTGTGTTTTACAACAGTTGTTGGTGGCATTTATTGCCTTGAAGTATACATGTGTTTATGACAGCCTTGCAAACTGGAAAGATGTAAGGAGTCCTAATTGGGAATGTGTCCTCATTGATGACAGTGTCCTAATTGGGAATGTGTCCTCATTGATGACAGTGTCCTAATTGGGAATGTGTCCTCATTGGTGACAGTGTCCTAATTGGGAATGTGTCCTCATTGATGACAGTGTCCTAATTGGGAATGTGTCCTAATTGATGACAGTGTCCTAATTGGGAATGTGTCCTCAATGATGATAGTGTCCTAATTGGGAATGTGTCCTTATTGATGACAGTGTCCTAATTGGGAATGTGTCCTCATTGATGATAGTGTCCTAATTAGAAATGTGTCCTCAATGATGACAGTGTCCTAATAGGGGATGGTGAGTCCTCACTGGGAACAGATTGGCAAGGTTGACAATAGTGTGTCCAGATTTAGAACAATATGGGCTATGATTTGGGACACTGCACAATGACTGGGGACAGTGTGTCATAACTGGAAGAATAAAAGGGTCCTGGTTTGTATGATATCTCTGTCATGATTGTAGAGTGAAAGGGTCTGGATTCTGTTACAGACTCTGACTATAAGTCTATCCTGATTGAGGACTGTGTAATGATTATAGACTATAAGTCTGTCCTGATTGAGGACTGTGTAATGATTAGAGACTATAAGTCTGTTCTGATTGAGGACTGTGTAATGATTATAGACTATAAACCTGGCCTGATTGTGGACTGTGTAATGATTAGAGACTATAAACCTGTCCTGATTGTGGACTGTGTAATGATTAGAGACTATAAGTCTGTCCTGATTGAGGACTGTGTAATGATTATAGACTATAAGTCTGTCCTGATTGAGGACTGTATACTGATTATAGACTATAAACCTGTCCTGATTGAGGACTGTGTAATGATTAGAGACTATAAGTCTGTCCTGATTGAGGACTGTGTAATGATTAGAGACAGTGTCCTAATTGGCAGTCAGTGTGTCCTGATTGAGCATAGGTCATATTGGGTGTGTCCTGAGAAAGTTTTTTCTATTCTAAAATTATCAATTTCCTTCCCCATAACCCTGTCTAATCCCTTACCCCTCACTATCTACACCTACAGTATCCTTTACTGACCTAAAGTAGTATTCAGTATTGTCCTGACGTGTGTCCATACTGCTATGTGCCCTGTTCCAGCTCACATGGAATACCTGCCGGTAATAGTCCTATAACTGTCCTCGTGTTATAGGCTGTAGTCACAACATTTATGGCCGTTCTCATGTTCAAATTCCCTTATATGTCACATGCTACCTTTTGATTTTCTACAATAAAGAATTACGTAGCCTGTTCTTTTGTTCTTTGTATTTAAGGTAATTTGAACCATTAATCATGATATGTCAAACTTTATACTTTTCCTTGTGTTCGTCCCATACACATTATCATCATTTAAGGAAATACTTAAATAAAAGAAAAGAAACTTTTGAAAAAAAAAAAATTGATTTTTATGTGATTAACATAATATGCATTTTAAATTAAGCATAAAAAATTGATGTAGAGGTCAAGTATGAAGTGTGTTGTGACGTCATTGCCTACAGATCTTTGGCTGTACATGTGAACATCACATTTTTCTCAGGATATAATCTGTGTATGACTGTTGATGTGAGCTGGCGACGGAGCCAATCGGAGCCCAGTCACTAGTAACAGAGACATGCACCGTCTCGTTAGAGTGCAGCAGCCATGTGCAGACACACTTATCACACAGTCGCAATCTCACATATTCTTCACTTCTGGATACTGTACACTTAAATTGAATTAAACCAAGTATGAAAATCTAATTTGCTACTGTATATAACTTGATATATGCAGTTTGGTATTTTTGCCAATTATACAGAATAAGTTGGCAAAAACCTGTTTATGATGGAACATACAAGTGTTCTGAGGTTGAAATCAGTTTTGAACTCACCAGCCGCCTCGATAAGAAAACAAGTTTTTGTGAGTGAGGAGTAGAAATAAGGCAAATACAGAAATATACACTATCAATGCTTAAAAGCAATTTGACTTGAAGCATTAGGTTTATTCATGAAGCACCTCCTCTTTTTATAGCTTGAAGGCCTTAAACTGAATTGATAGAATGTGAAGTTATGATTATATTTTCATGAAAATATTTGTTGTAGCTTACAGTATCTGAAGTTAGTTGTTAGATATTTATTTTTAATCAAGAAGGCAAATAATTGCTTCTGTCTCTGTTGGGCTCCTCGATTTATCACTTTCTCTGTCACATATATGTGTATAGAAAAGTGTTGTTGAAATGTGTATTTGATGGTAAATCTGATGGATTACATAAAACTTATTAACTACAAAATATTGTTTGTTGAGAATTGTGTATGAAAATATATCATTATTTTAATTTGTAAAATCTTTGGTTTGGTCTTGTTGGTTGTTTCTCAGGAAAAAAAATATTACTTTCATATTTGTTCTTCAGGAGTTACCTCCCCCTGGATCATATGAGGTACAAGATGCTTATGAGAAATCTCAAATCAAGAGAGACAGAATTAAACCGAGAACAGAGAATGCCAAGAGGAAGCAGGGGTCGTTCCTGTCAGCAGCATCTAGATTTGCACCACCAAGGGATGTGGTCGTTTCACAAAATGATCCTGAAAATCCAGGTAAGTCTATGTATAGTAAAACTCAAACATGGATAAACCTGATAAGAAAAATCAAATGAAAAAGGTGAAGAAAAAAAATCAAAATGAGAAAATTGGAAAAGAAAAATGGCATTTAATCAGTTTATTAAAGGTGTTGAGTTATGTAAGTAATAATGGGTACCAGCAACTAAAATTAAAAGCCTGGTACCACTCAGTCCAGCTACATCAAGTTTACTTAGGGACACAAAGGGACATTCTCAACACCTGAACATTAAAACCAATCTACATGTACCAGTTATGGATTTGATATTTTCCTCTGAGCAAATATTAAAAGTGTTCCAATCTGCTAAGTTTGCAGTTTATTTATTGCACTCTTAGTCAGTTTGTGTACTTTTGCAGATTGAAATTTTTAGCAAAGTTAGGAATCAAACTTGCATGTCATAGATATCAGACTCATGGATGATTTAGGAGTGTCTCACTCAACTCGGTTAATATTGGGGCAAAACAAATCTGGTACAAAATTGAAACATGTATCTGGTTGTTTCAATCTCCAGCCTAAATCTTATCAATCCCATATTTCTTCATCACAAATCAACAAAAAGCAGGCCTGCAGAATCTGCTTCACACCTTCCCTGTCATTTAAATAAGTCTCCGCCTGCAACTGATTGTAAACATTGGTATGGTAGCAGATGCTGACTTTCAGATGCCACAAAACACAGGAAACCTGTCAGCAGATGGACACAGAATCTTCAGGTCGCCTTAAAAAAACGCAAATCTTCCTCCGCTAAAATTAGATATACCCTCACCATTTACATCAACGACCACCAGGAAACCATTTATTTATGACAAAATTTGGAGTGATTTACCTTGATAGATTACGTAAACAGGTTCATAAGACTGTATCTGCTCAAAATCCCAGGAAATACAGATAAGGTGGATAAGACTAGGGGCTCCAGTCGGAGATCTTCGTAGTTAAGGAAGTGGCATCATAGGTAGGGGGTTTGGAGGGGTTACAGGACTCTATGCTGGGTACTTGAGGGTGAAGAGCAAGGTCATGATTATCTAACTCAAGGATTTCCAATTTATCAAACATCATGTGAAGTGCTTCAGCCCTTCTACATTAGTTAAGCTGTTTCTTGATATGTCAAATATGAAATTAAATTTTCAACATGCACATTCATCAGAATGGAGATGCGAGGTGACTCGTCTAGATGCTGGTGATAGAGGTTTGACGGTAAACAATCCTACTTCCCATCCTTCATACGATTTTCTGTGAGAAATTTTTCGGCAAAGTTTGAGATGAGTTGATATTTTAATTAAATTAAAATTAGTTTGCGATAGCTGTAAGCCTACACAGAGTTTAATATATGCTTAAAATCTTCATATTTCTCAACATGTCTTTTCCAACTTGAAACAGCAAAAACACAGAGGCTTTTCACAACTAATTCTTTTGAATAGCTTTTCAAGTTGCTTAAAATAATTCCACTTTGAATAAGATAAAAGTAGAAGGTGATATTTAAAAAAGAATAAAGGCCAATTTCATTTCCTTACAAAGTCTTTGTGTGCCTGAAGAATTTTATTGCCAATATGTTTTTTCTCACAAAATGAGGTCAGTGTTAATTGTGTTAGTGAAGCAGGCAATGTGTAACTCCATACACGGAGATCAAGTCCTCTACATCCAAAAACATATAGAAATGTAGTTTGGGTTAACGTTCATTTCTTCCAGTAGTAATTTCAGGATAATCAAATTCCTTACAGTGAATTTTCATTCATTTCTTCTGCCATAGAATGCCTTTGTGGTATAGCTGGAAGTGTATGTTTACAATAATTGGGAGTACTAGACAGGAAGGTAAAAACTCCCAACTCAAGTCAAGTGCTTCTTCATTTCTCTAAATAAATATTTCTAACCCTGGAGTAAATACAGATCATTTCACAGACCTTTCATTTAAATCCAATGTTGTATTCAATCTACTTTTAAAGAGCATTTGGAAAGTATATTACTTCAATTACAGAAATTTAAATGTAAAACCGGGGTCTTAAAAATACTTGGTAAAATTTTGATAAAAGTGAAATTTCATTTTAATAGGAAATTTAGTGTGTAAAATAAATGGCCTTAAATGAATAAAAACTTTTAACACCAAACTTTTAATTCAGTTGTAATACCTACTTAAACACAACCATCTCAGTCAATTACCTGCCCTGTAGCTACCAACAGCCAGTTGTTTGACCTTTAGATTACTTTCGAGTTTGTTATTATACCATGGCATAGGAAAGCTATATGTCGATCAGTGTTGTATTGCTATATTTCAAATTTATAAACTGTGGTTAGAGCAAGTCTTGCAAGTAAAATGAAATACGTTTGTTTTCACTTCTATGTCATATATTGATGTATATGCCTATGTTTAGAAAGACATATTAGCATTACTGAAACTCCACAACAGGTTACAATAGCCAAGGCTGATCATAAAGGTTTCTAGAGGTAGATGTTACAAAGTCAAAGAATGTTGTACTGTTTCCTGAAGGTTGTTTCTGTATGTAGAAGATAATGTAGTTACAGAGAACACTAAAACCTCGTTATTGGTTTAATATCTACACCTAATAAATAGTCAGTACATTGTTACCTCTACTTTTTGTTTCCATGGATACCAAAACAAACATGTTTTTGTCTTTGTTACGGTCTCGCAAATGTTCTAAGTGGTGATCAGAAAGTATGAGTATTGTGGATTTTATTAAAAAAGGAGAAAGGAAGGAACTGTGGGTTATCATGCCAAATTAACTCAAACAAAAGCCAATGATATCAGACGTGAATTACTGGGAAAGTATCGGAGAGAGTTCATTTTACTTATCGTACAGTTGCCTTAGTGTTCTACCGCAATTTATCTTTAATGTGTTTGGAACGTAAATTCATATAAAATGAAAATGTAATTATATAACTGGCAGAGAACGCAAAACCTGTATATAACTGTATCTTTATTGTGTTGGATCTAGGAGATAGACAATCCAGCCATTGATAAAACAAACAGAGACATGGTTTGGCACAATGTCTTTAATCTAATAGAACTCACAATTTGTCTTCCGTGAAATTAAATCATAAAATTATCTTCGGACAGGATATATCAATCAGGGATAATTCAGCTATCAAATTCTATAATCAAGACATTTTTATTTAAATCCACAACATGCCCAAGTGTTCATTATAAACAAATCAGTAAAGTAGATTTTAGAACATGCATTTGGGAAGAAGTGGGCAGGTTTGGATGAAAGATAGGTAATTATATGTAGTTTGCACTAGGATTGTACCGTTGGAATTTTACAATGATTCATAACTATGAGGTTCCAATAAAGCATGTGTACAATGTGTATTTACCTGTACCAGATCACATATGTGTCTGATATTTAGTTAGAATAGACAACAAACAACCAGGTGTAGCCAGCTATATCTTCCTTTAATAGTTGGCTATAAAGAGCAGATATTTCTGGAGCATCAGGCAGGGAGAGCAGCATGCGTTATGACGCGAGGATACTGCGCACAGCCATTGTATAGGTGTTATGTAAGAATCTTCATCACTCTCGTTACTGTGTTACTGGTCTGTAATCCGCCATCTAAATAAACCCCAATCAATGGCATATTCAGCATTTGACTTTCCGTGCTTCAGAATGAAGCCTATTGAATATCAACATAACATTCTGTAGGTATTGTCCCTTAATCTAACAAATTAAGGACGATCCATCAAAGCCACATATTAACAGTAGCTCAGGTCATTCAGAAGCTTTGTCAATCCCAATCATTAATTTTGTGAAAATTTGAAGCGATTACTGCCTTAAATAAGTGCAGAATTGGCTGGATTAGGCTAGGACTCAGTGGATATGGATTGGAGAGAATTTTTGGCTGGTAATGGTAGAACCATCAGAATTATTGTTACTATGATTAGTCCACATCTCATTCAAAGCATGTATGTTTAACGGAGATGAAGAAAATCGGACATTGCTGTGCAATAGACCTACCGACAGACAAGGTTTTTTCGGTCCTGTAATATTATTTTTTCACCCTTGATAACATCCAGATTCATACTGAAATTTGATGAAATGTGTCGAGTCTCAGTGCCAGTGACTCACAAACAGAAACCATTCCTCCTCCTCGGTATTAATATCCAGCACAGAAGTCATGAGTTATTGTCAAACTGTAGATTTACTAGGATGCCTTGGCTGGTTCCTTCATTATTCACCGTGTAATACCAAGTAGTGGAGTCTGCTGCATATCTGACAAAACCTCATAAGCATTGTTATTACAAATTTGTATTTGAATGCTGGCTAATTATTTAATAAGAAATGAACATTTTATAGTTTTTTCACTATTAAATAAAATGTATACTTCCCGGACCCAATTAGTGTATGAATTGAGATGAGTTTGTTTAAGTTTTCATTGATTGCAGCTACATAACAGAGTCTGTTAAATGTTTCTGGTGAGATTGTCAGTGTCTTTGGAAGAGCTTTACAAAAATAGAAACATTATGAAAGAGATCCTCACTTGTGCTGCAATATTATCTCACTAACTGAGCATAATACTGGGCAATTAATGTCTGGTGAACTACCACACCCTGCCTGCCTGTAAAGCCAGGCTGCTCACTCTGTCAGAACATGCCCCCAGCCTAGATACAGCATTAGTAGCAATGTACCTTTATCTCTACTCCATGAATTTGGCATTGTTACCCCCCATACCACTTCACTGGTGATGTTCCCCTGAAGTACAAACTGGTTTAACTATACTTTTCCTAGTCTCTGTCCTACTTATTTAAATCATATAAACCAGTTAAGTTCTGTTGTCAAGAAAATGGATGTCTTTCTTTCCAAAATAGCGTTTCTTTCATGTTAACTCAATGAAGTAATATACAGTTGTGAGGTAACTTTCTGAGTGAGTTAATACTCAGTTTTGAGGTACCTCTTTGAGTGAGTGAATACTCAGTTTTGAGGTATCTCTCTGAGTGAGTGAATACTCAGTTGTGAGGTAACTTTCTGAGTGA